TGATTGATTTCCAAACTTACGTACTAATTCTGTCATGGGCCTTGCATTAGGAAGGTTAAACCAAAGTAAAATAAAACAATTCTAGGGCTCTGTTTGTCTTCTCAAAACGGTTAGTGCTGCAATTGTCTCCAGAACCAGGCTTCATCCTGGAGCACCCAAAACTCAGGACCTCCGTTTCCCGGGGACTCACGCTCACCCCCCTACACCCGGCCTGTATACACCCCCATCCACAGCCTCAGGAAGAAGGACCTTAAAGGTGGTGACAGAAGAATTTACAAGCTGCTCTTATGACTGGCTTTGTCTCAATTGCACACGAGCCAGAGCCACTTCTCTCAATTAGAGGTGATTTCTCCTTTGCTCCCACTTCTCCGGCCACAAGTCGACTGTCTATGAGACTGTCAGGCATCAGCCCGCCCCTCCCTTACCCCGTGGGAATCTCCCATGGAAAGTGGCTCCACCGACCCCGGGGCCCCACTCCAACTCCCCAGCTAATTTCCTGTTTTAGGGCTTGGGCAGGACACTTCTACCTAGTGCCCTAGACACCCCTTGTCCTTTGAGCACCCAGCCGGGCCTAGCCAGAGACCTACCACTTGCCCACAAAACCATTTCCTCCTCATCCCAAGGTACACTCTTAGGCTTCCAAGGAAAAACCAGAACACGGTAGATGGATCTTAGCAACTGCTCCAAGGTCCTCTCCTCCAAAACCACAAAGCAGGCAGGTGAGTATCCTGGAATGAGTCCCCAGTTGCCTCCTGGGGGCTTGGAGAGGGGCCTCCAATTTCCTGGGCATTACATATGTCAGGGGGTAGTAATCCCAGCCAGAAGCCTGGCATTCAGCCCCCCAAGTCCTGACATCTTGTTCAAATCTACCCTGCCTGCTCCATACTGGGGCCTCAAGTCTCCATCCTTCCCATCTGGTCAACACCCCCTCTCCGTCTTGGCCGGAGTAGCTTCTCAGGAACCCAAATCGGACGATGAAGCTCCCCTGCTAAAAACTGGAGGTCAAAAGCCTGGGAGATAAGGGTTCCTCCTTCACCTGCAGTGGCCTTGGCCATCAGCCCAGCCCGGTGTGCGGATCCAGCCTTATCTAGGCCCCTCCTCCCTCACCCCACTCTCCAGCCTGCCAAACATCTCGTCCTTTGTTACCAGAACACATGCACTCACAGGCTCTCCACCTTTGCACTTACCATTCCCTCCTCCTAGAAGAGCCTTCCCCCCTTATCCTTCCAGCAAATTCCTGCTCAACCTTCAAGGCCCAGCTCAAAGGTCTGCTCCTGCATGAAGCCCTGTCTCACCCCCCGGTTCAGTCCACACAGGCTGCCATCATAGGCCTACCATAAACATTTATTTCTCACGGTTCTGGAGGCTGGATGCCCAAGGCCAAGGCCAAGTTGCCAGCACCGTCAGGTTCTGCCGAGGGGCCTCTTCCCTGCTTGCAGACAGCCACCTCCTTTCTGTGCGCGCCCATGACATTGTTCTTCTGATAAGGCCACCAATCCTATCAAATTAGGACCCTACCCATATGACATCATCTCACTTTAATGACTTCCTAAAAGCCTTATCTCCAAATACAGTCACATGGAGGGGGTTAGGCCTTCAACATAGGAATTTAGGGCAGGGACACAGTTCAGTCCATAACACCTCCCCAGACAAATCTGATCTCTGCCTCCTCCACAGCGCCACCCTGTTCAGGGCAGGAAGTCTCTTCATCATAGCACATCCACCCTTGATTCCCATTTGTGCCTCCTGTGCACTTGATGAATGAATGAAGTCCCATCCCCTACTCCTTCTGTCTCCTCCTTCCTCCCAGCAGCCTCTGTGTGACAACTTATGAGTCTCTCCCACTGTCCCAGTTCCCAGAGGCACAAGCCACCTTCTCACGCATCACTGGGCTCTTGGCACCCTGCACGGGGCAGGCTCGGGTGGGTGAATTCTGGTTCAATTGTAGGAGGACCTGTGGCCCCTAGGGTTGGAGACCCCCAGGCCGGGAGCCCCACTCCTTGCCACTGTCGCCCACACACATTCATCAGCCCGCTATTGGACGAAGTCTTATTCCCATTACTGAGGTTTCTTCCAGTCCTATCCAGCAGAGTTCCCGATCTCCGGGCAGGCAACAGCAGCTGTGCAAAAAAGGCCAGACATCGCCTTCCTCCCACAACTCCACAGGCCGGGAACCATGCATGTATAGAGGCGTTTCTTTGTTCCTAGCTAGGAAAAGCCATTCGTTTTAGCACTGCAGAAAAACATGCAAATCGCTCTGGGTGTTTTTTGATTTCCGTCCAGGTCTCCCTCCACAGGTGGATGGTATACGAATGGGTCCTGTATTTGGCTCAACAAGCAGCTCTTCGGCTCACATCGGGTTATTTATTTAACGTATCTGGTTTTTACTCCCTCCCGTCCAAAAGCGTCAAGCTAAAAATATCTTGTTTATGAGCTCTGGACCGAAAACGAAGCAGTTGGGCTATTAATCACTGGGACTATGTTGAATAGGAACTTGATTAAAGCGCAGTGTGCATTGCCCAGATGAAACTGCTTCTTTACTGCGATCGTCGTGGAAGCTCGGGGCTCTCCAGCGGTGTTTTTAGCTGCGCCCCCTCAGGGGCTCCTGGGCGGGTCGTGGCGCCTTGCCAGGTCTTCAAGAAGGCCACTGTCGGTGAAGGGGGTCTTCCCTCACCTGGAGGCAAGCGCGCCTCTAGCCGGGACCCAGACTGCGTCAGGCCTCAGAGCCAGTGGCGAAAGGCGGCGCGGGCAGGGGCAGGAGACACTTGAGGGCCCCCAAGACCCCATCTGGGCCCAGCTGACAGTCCGCAGCCCCCACCCCGGCCGCGGTAAAGAATGCGAGGGACGCACGTGGCTGGGGTTCTCGGTAGCAAGCTCCTTCCCCCGCCGCGGTGAAAGCGTTAGCGTGCCACACTCAAGGGGCCCCAGGGCCCGGCCGCCTCGGTCCCCAGGATCCCGGGGACCACAGCGCCCGGCGAACCACCGGGCAGAGCTCTTCCCGTGGGTGCTCGGACCTGGCGGCCTCGGCGACCTGGACACCCTCGCTCCCGCCGTTGGCGCCCACCTGAATGGGGGGTGGGGGGAGGAAGCGGTGGCTTCGGGCCTCGCGGACTGCGGCCCCCGCCTCGGGATCCCGGCCCCAGAGTCAAGTTTGTCTCCTCCCTCGGTGCGCCCCTCCCCATGCTCGCCCCGGCGTCCAGCTCGGCTATTCCTGGAGACCGCCAGTCCCTCAGGAAAAAAAATCGGCGACTCCACGCTGGGTAACAACGCCTGTCCCGCGCGCCTAGCAAGTCGCGCGCTCCGGCCTGGAGAAGTAATTATAAAGAAAGTTTTCCAGCCCGGGCGGATCGACCGGCCAGGTCCTCCAGGCTCCCGGGCCGAGGCCGCCTCCGCTCCCCGCGGGGTCCTAGCGCCCCGCGCGGCGCCGCCCGTGGGATTCCGCCGTCCTCCGAGAGGTGCCTCTGCGCGGAATCACAGGGGTAGCCTGGAGATCAGAGCTAGGAGACGCAGAGCCACTGCGCTCCGGGCCTCTCCGCGCGTCCCAAACGG